GAGAGAGCGGAGTTGGTCACATTTTTGGGGCAAGTTCCTGAGATCGTCGTGTTTTTTGTTGGTCTTGCGCGCGCGAATTTCCACTTTACTTTTTTTTGCAAGGGAGTATTGAAATTTGATTATGTTAGAACAAGAAAAAGTAGCTCGCGCGAGCTCATGTAACATAAATGTTGAAAAACCATTGGTTTTGTGGGAGTCGGACAGCGCGCGCGGGATGAAATTTGGACATTTTTTTTTGAAAACCATTGGGTTTTTGATGTTTTTATGTTGAAATCGTTACGAAACCTAAGGTTCTGGAAGGATTTCGTCTTGCGCGCGCGAATGTCCACTTTACCTTATTTTTTGCAAGGGATTATTGAAATTTGATTATGTTAGAACAAGAAAAAGTATCTCGCGCGAGCTCATGTAACATAAATGTTGAAAAACCATTGGTTTTGTGGGATTCGGACAGCGCGCGCGGAAGGACATTTTGACATTTTTTTCTTAAAAAACCATTGGGTTTTTGATGTTTTTATGTTAAAATCGTTACGAAACTTTTTAAATTGTTTTAAAATTTATTTGTGAGCTAAGGTTTTGGAAGGATTTCGGAGGGGGAGGGCGAAGCGCCACGAAATGTCCACTTTACCTTATTTTTTGCAAGGGATTCTTGAAATTTGATTATATTAGAACAAGAAATGTCATTTATAGTGTTTTTTGCAAGGGAAAGCGGGGGGGAACAAAACAACCGGATCTTGATCACATCGAATTACCTGAGGCTTCCTCACGAAAATGATGAAAATGTAGCTGCGGCCTAGGCGGCGCAGGGGGGCCGTGCACCAGGGGCCCCAACAATAATTATTCTTTAGAATTAATAAATGTTCAACAACAACAACAACAACAACAACAACAACAACAACAACAACAACAACAACAACAACAGCAACAGCAACAGCAACAACAAGAACGAGGCGCAGTTGACCGGCCCGTCCACTGGGGAGCTCCACAGCGCCTCCTCCCCTAGGGACAAGGCCGACTTGACTGGCCCGGGGGCAACCGCGGGACCCCAGCAACCCCAGCAACCCCAGCAACCCCCAGCAACCCCGAAAGCTTACCTCCACAGACCAAGCTCTCAACGCTACGTCCTCCATGCGGATTCTGACAGCACGACGCGTGTGCGCACCGGTGCAGCGAGCTCTTGAGGAATCCTATAGGATCCTCGAGAAATCCTATAGGATCCTATAGGAAATCCTATAAAATCCCTAGATACTACTTAGGATTCCTTTAAGAATCCTAAGGAAATCCTATAGGACGCCTTTGGAATCCTATAGCAGTTCCCTTTAAGGAATCGATAGGAATCCTATAGGACTCCTTAGGAATCCTATATAGATTCTTTATGAATCCTATGAGATTCTTAGGAATCCTATAGAATCCTATAGGATCCTTAGGAGGAGCATGGGATCCCTTAGGAATCCTATGGGATCCCTTAGGAATCCTAGAGGATCCCTTAGGAATCCTATAGGATTCCTTAGGAACCCTGTGGGATCCCTTAGGAATCCTATGGAATCCCTGAGGAATCCTATAGGATCCCTTAGGAATCCTATAGGATTCCTTAGGAACCCTGTGGGATCCCTTCGGAATCCTATAGGATCCCTTAGGAATCCCATAGAGGAGCTCTATGAGCTCTATGAGGAGCTCTGCTAGAATCCTATAAGATCCTATAGGATCTATAGGATCCTCTAGAAATCCTATGAAATCCCATAGGAAATCCTATAGGATCCTATAGAAATCCTATAGGATCCTATAGGAAATCTATGAAATCCTATAGGATCCTCTAGAAATCCTATAGGATCCTATAAGATCCCTTAGGAATACTATAGGATTCCTTAGGAATCCTATAGGAATCCTATAGGATCCCTTAGGAATCCTATGGGATCCCTTAGGAATTCTATAGGATCCCTTAGGAATCCTATGGGATCCCTTAGGAATCCTATGGGATCCCTTAGGAATCCTATTGGATCCCTTAGGAATCCTATGGCATCCCTTAGGAATCCTATAGGATCCCTTAGGAATCCTATGGGATCCCTTAGGAGTCCTATAGGATCCCTTAGGAATCCTATGGGATCCCTTAGGAATCCTATGGGATCCCTTAGGAATCCTATAGGATCCCTTAGGAATCCTATGGGATCCCTTAGGAATCCTGTGGGATCCCTTAAGAATCCGATGGGATCCATTAGGAATCCTATGGGATCCCTTAGGAATACTATAGGATTCATTAAGAACCCTAGAGGATCCTATGGGATCCCTGAGGAATCCCTTAGGAATCCTATTGGATCACTTAGGAATCCTATAGGAATCCTATGGGATCCCTTAGGAATCCTATAGGAATCTTATAGGATCCCTTAGGAATCCTATTGGATCCCTTAGGAATCCTATGGGATCCCTTAGGAATCCGATATGAGCTCTATGAGGAGCTCTGCTAGGAGCTCTATTAGGAGCTCTGTTAGGAGCTCTGCTACGAGCTCTACTACGAGCTCTATTAGGAGCTCTACTACGAGCTCTAATACGAGCTCTACCACGAGCTCTAATACGAGCTCTATTAAGAGCTCTACTACGAGCCCTACTACGAGCTTTACTACGAGATCTACTACGAGCCCTACGAGGAGCTCTACTTCGAGTTCTACCACGAGCTCTACCACGAGCTCTACTACGAGCTCTACCACGAGCTCTACTACGAGCTCTATTAGGAGCTCCGTTTGGAGCTCTGTTAAGAGCCCTGTTAGGAGCTCTACAAGGAGCTCGCTTAGGAGCTCTACTACGAGCTCTACTACGAGCTCCATGTGGGAGTTATAGCTGCGTGCTCTTACCAGGAGCTCTGATGGTAGGATCGATGGGGAGGTTTTTGTTCTGGGTGCTACGACTTGTACGGCGCGTTTTGAGAGCGAGAGGGTGTTGAGTGGTACTGCCATAATGCTCGAGGCGTGCTCGTCGAGGGGCTGCAGTCCTCGGTGCGAGACGAGGGGCGCTGTCGTCAGAGCGAGGGGTGGTGCGACGAGTAGGTGCGCAAAGGAGGGCTTATTAGTCGTGGTCGACGGGGGTTCGTCGTAGTAGTCGTAGGTAAGTGTACAGTAGACGTACGCTAGTCGGTCGTCGTCGTCGTAAGGGACGCCGTCGAGGATACTGACGTCTACGTAGTTCTAGTCTTCTTACGGACACTCCTCGGGGCTCCCTTTTATTTTTGTTCCCACTACTACTACTACAACTCTACTACTACTACTACTACTACCACAACTTACTACTATACTTCTCCTTTTGCTTATCTAATTTTCGATCTACTACTACTACTACTACTACTACTACTACTACTACTACGACTACTACTACTACTACGACTACTACGAATACTACGAATACTACTACTACTACTACTACTACTACTACGACTACTACTACTACTACTACTACTACTACTACTACTACTACTATTACTACTACTACTACTACTACTACTACTACTACTATTACTACTACTACTACAACGACTACTACTACCATCACCACTACTACTCCTACTACTACTACTACTACTACTACTACTACAACAACTACTACTACTACTACTACTACTACTACTACTACCACTACCACTACTACTACTACTACTACTACTACTACTACGACTACTACTACTACTCTACTACTACTACTACTACTACGACTCTACTACTACTACTACTACTACTACTACTACTACTACTACTACTACTACGAGTACGAATACTACTACTACTACTACTACTACTACTACTACTACTACTACCACTACTACTACTACTACTACTTCTACTCCGACTACTACTACTACGTGTGTGGACGCACGCGATTGCGAAGCGTGCGCATGTCCGCGCATTGCTTGCGATGTTGCACCAGCGTGCGCGGCGCGGGCACCAGAGCCCCGCTACCAACGCGACGGGCACCAGCCCACCGCTACGACTACCAGCTCCGCTACCAGCGCGACGGGCACCGCTACCACCAACAATGCAACAAGTTTGGCGGGGGCAACAGAGCTCCGCTACCAGCACGACGGGCAACTACACCCGAGCCATTCGCGCAATACGGCGCGTTTCTGCATCAAGCCAAAATGGCAGCCATTCGCTCTCCTACGGCGCGTTTCTGCATCAAGCCAAAATGGCAACCTCCTCCTCTCCTCCTCTCCTCTCCTCCTCTCCTCCTCTCCTCCTCTCCTCCTCCTCTCCTCTCCTCTCTCCTCCTCTCCTCGCCTCCTCCTTCTCCTCCTCCTCTCCTCCTCTTTCCTCCTCTCCTCCTCTCCTCCTCTCTCCTCCTCTCTCCTCCTCTGTCCTCCTCCTGTCCCCCTCTCCCGTCCTCCGCCGCCGCGGGCGCATCTTCGAACCAACGTGGGCCTGCGGGGGCCTGGAGGGTCCTCCCGAGGTTTCCTGGGGCCTCCTGGGGCCTCCGGGGGCCACGGGGGGCCTCCGGGGCCGCCACGGGTCTTCGGGTGTTGGGGCAGCAGGCGGGGGTCTCACCGTACCCCGCTCCCTGTAACTGCTGCCCCTTGGTTTCCTTCGCAGGGGCTGGGGGTGGCGTCGCCTGCGCCTGCTGGGAGGGCGGCGTCGCTCGCGGGCCTCGTCGCCGCTCTCTCTCCCGCAAGACGCGTGCGGCGCGCGGAAAGGAGCCGCGCCTCCTCGGGGGTCTGCCGCGCCCGACGGCGGGGGGCGGCGGCGGCGGGGGCGCGGCGGCGGCGACGACGACGGCGGCGGAAGCGACGACGCCGGCGGAAAACCCGCGCGAGCAACCACGGGCAATAACTGTAGCGCGGGCGAATATCCGACGCAACAGCAGACACAGAGCGCTACATTCCAAGTCTCCGACACGCACTGTTCGCTCCAACGGCGAGTCACCAGGCCAATGTAGCCGAAAAGGGGCACCAGAGAGAATGGCTCGAAAACCGCCGCGCGCTCGTCGTGCACGCAACGACACCGAAAGTATGATCACAAAAGGTGCGTTCACTCCTGGTATGAATTGGTCACGATGGGAACGCCATCGGATGCCTCCGGAGCGCCCTGCCGAAGGCTGCCTCGTCTAGAATGGCGGGTTCACGGAGGCTGTCTACGTGCCACACGCGGTCGTTGTGCTTGAGAATCCGCCACCAGGCCTCCAGAAATGTTGAGGCGGAAAACCCCCACTCGACCTCCCCCTCTCCTCCTCCTCCCCTCCTCCTCCTCCTCCTCCTCCTCCTCCTCCTCCTCCTCCTCCTCCTCCTCCTCCCCCTCCTCCTCCTCCTCCTCCTCCTCCTCCTCCTCGTCCTCGTCCTCGTCCTCCTCCTCCTCCTTCTCCTCCTCCCCCTCCTCCTCCTCCTCCTCCTCCTCCTCCTCCCACTCGTCCTCGTACGCCCACACATGCGGACGAGTAGGCCCATCATGCCCAGCATTGCGCCGGCACGGCGGCGGGATTCGCCGAAGGCACCTGGATAGCCGACCAATGGACGTTGTTATGGTTCACCAGCGCCCCCAACATGTCGTCGCTGCTCGTGAATGCCTGCCACGAAGACGGCAAGAGAGGCCGCAACAACATTCGCCACGACGGAGGGACGACGGAATCCAGAACAGTCGCCAGCACGGAGTGGGAGTACCATCCTCCATCGCTCACGTGAAGGTCGGGGGGATCATCTGTCTGAGCCACCACAATGCCGCGTGCCACCTCCAAGTCGCCGTCCGAGAACTGCGGCGCCCCCAACAAATTGTTCAAGGCATGCCGGCCGCACACGGGAGCGCTGCCCTGGCGCTCAAGATACCGATCGCCCCACAGGGCGCCCGCGTGCCAGGCTGGCGGCGGCGGGAGCGGCCATGGGGGCACCCACGGCTCCGCCGCCGGCGGCGCGGTGGGCCCGCGCGCGGGGCCACCCTGCCCGTCACGATGCTCGGGGCCGCGGCCGTCGGCATGCCCGTCGCGATGGCGTGCGGGTGCCTCTTGGGAATGCTCTTGGGCGCGCTCCTCCCGCTGCTCTCGCCCCTGTTCTTCGGGGTGGTTTGGCCCGCGCTCCTCCCGACGATCTGCTGGGTTGGCTTCGGCGGCCAAGCGCTTCCCCGCTGCCAGAGCCAACTTGCCCGCTTTCCCCGTTGCCAGACCCAGCTTGAGCTTCGCTCTGGAATCGGCGCATTTCGCCCACTCCCTGGCTGCGTCGAGAAAAGCCGACCATCGATCGTCGTTGCCGACCAAGCGCCGCCATTGCTGAGACCTCACGTAGCCGTCCGTCCTATCGACGTCCTCCACAGTGCGGGCAGTCAGGTTCCGTGGCAAAGGCTCCTTGAGAAGATCCCATTCTTTGTCGATCGTCATCGTGCCAGCCATAGATCCCCTCGTGTGGCCCGTGTCGACGTCGGCGACGACCGCGGGGATGGGCCGGGAAAACTCGGCCTTCGGCTTCCTGGAGTGGTTCACGCTGTGGTGCTCCTCGAACCGCACGACGCAATCCGAGCAGCGGCACTTGTAGCAGCCCGCGCCGTCTGTCATGAGCAGCAGATTGTACTTGCGGTCGCCAAGGATCTCCTTGCAGAAAGCGTGATACGCCTCGGACGATTCGGGGGCCACGCGGCCCTCGCCGGTGGATTATCGGAGGAGGGGGAGTTGACACACTGGCACCTCAGACTCAGAGCACAATCGCCTCCCGGACCCTCCCCGGGGCCAACGAACGGACGTTTTCCGAACTGCGCCCGGCCGTGGCGACGAGAGCCCGGCCCCCCCTCCGGAGGGGACTCCGCCGGTGTCTCCAATGCCCCTCCTCTGAGATTTGCTCACGCCCAGCGGCATCATGGCGAAGTGGGACGTGCTACCTCGCTGGCGAATGCCAATGAAACAGTAATATGAATGCGTCAGCTCGGCGTTCTCCTCGGCTTTCCACTTGCAAATGACCGTGGCATCGACCTCCACCTCGACCGTTCGAGAAGAGCCGGTGCCCCACTGAATCCACCGCGCCCGCGCGGGGCGGCAGGCGTCGCCCCTCTCCCCTCGCCCCGGCGAGGGGTTCGTACCCCGGCAGTCGGGTTCTAGTAGTACTCGTAGTTAGTAGTAGTAGTAGTAGTAGTAGTAGTAGTAGTAGTAGTAGTAGTAGTAGTAGTAGTAGTAGTAGTAGTAGTAGTAGTAGTAGTAGTAGTAGTAGTAGTAGTAGTAGTAGTAGTAGTAGTAGTAGTAGTAGTAGTAGTAGTAGTAGTAGTAGTAGTAGTAGTAGTAGTAGTAGTAGTAGTAGTAGTAGTAGTTAGTCGTGGTAATCGTGTGTTAGTAATTAGAGTAGTAAGTAGTGTAGTATTACTAGTAGTAGTATTAGTCGAGTAAGTAGTATCGAGTATGTAGTAGTAGTATTAAAGTAGAAGTAGTAGTAGTAGTAGTAGTGTAGGAGTAGTAGTCGTTGTAGTAGTAGTAGTAGTAGTAGAGTGGTAGGAATTGTAGTGTATTAGTTAAGTAGTATCGTAGTAGTAGTAGTAATATTAGTAGTAGTTGTAGGTAGTAGTAGTGGTAGTAGTAAGTAACTACTCGTGTAGTTAGTAGTAGCAGTGGTAGTACAGAAGTTAGTAGATACTAGTAGTAGTAGTAAGGTAGTAGTAGTGTGCTGGGAGTGGTCGTATTAAGGTTTAGCGTAAAGTAGTAGTAGTAGTAGTAGTAAGTAGTCGAAGTTATAACTCGTAGAAAAGTGTAGTAGTAGTAGTAGAATTTGTAGTAGTAGTAGTAGTAGTAGTAGTAGTAGCAGTAGTAGTAGTAGTAGTAGTGGTATTAGTAGTGGTTGTACTCGTAGTAGTGGTAGTAGTAGTAGTCGTTGTAGTAGTAGTAGTAGTAGTAGTAGTGGTAGATGTAGTAGTAGTAGTAGTAGTAGTAGTCGTAGTAGTAGTAGTAGTAGTAATATTAGTAGTAGTGGTAGTAGTAGTAGTGGTAGTAGTAGTACTACTCGTGGTAGTAGTAGTAGTAGTGGTAGTAGCAGAAGTAGTAGTACTAGTAGTAGTAGTAGTAGTAGTAGTGCTGGTAGTGGTCGTAGTAGTTGTAGCAGTAGTAGTAGTAGTAGTAGTAGTCGAAGTTGTACTCGTAGAAAAGTGTAGTAGTAGTAGTAGAATTTGTAGTAGTAGTAGTAGTAGTAGTAGGAGTAGTAGTAGTAGTAGTAGTAGTAGTAGTAGTAGTAGTTGCAGTACTAGTAGTAGTCGTGGTAGTAGTAGTAAGTCTTAGTAGTAGTAGTAGTACCAGTAGTACTAGTAGTAGTACTAGTAGTTGTAGTAGTAGTACTAGTAGTAGTAGTCGTAGTAGTAGTAGTAGTAGTGTAGTAGTAGTAGTAGTAGTAGTAGTAGTAGTCGTAGTAGTAGTAGTCGTGTAGTAGTAGTAGTAGTCGTAGTAGTGTAGTAGTAGTAGTAGTAGTAGTAGTAGTAGTAGTAAGTCGTAGTAGTAGTAGTAGTAGTAGTAGGAGGAGGAGGAGGAGGAGGGGAGAACGAGGAGAAGGAGGGGGAGGGGGGGAAAGGGGAGGGGTAGGATAGGATAGGAACTGGGACTGCTGCTGCTGCTCCTCCTGCTGCTGCTGTTCCTGAACCTCCTCCGCCTCCCTCCTCCTCCTCCGCCTCCTCCTCCTCCTCCTCCTCCTCCTCCTCCCCCGCTGTGTCCCCCCCGTCCTCCCCTCCTCCCCCCCGCCGTCACCCCTGCCCGACACCCCCCTCCTCCCCGGGCCGGCGACAGCCTCCCTGATACCCCTTTGCATGCGAATCGCTGCCGCAGACATGATCGCGCGAGCCCGGGCGTAGTAACCTTGCACGACGCCCTCATGGATATTGAGCTGCCGCACTGCCACCGACTCAGGGACCCCTTCAGCGGCTAGCCACCACGCCATCACGCACATCGACACGCCCTTGCTGCCCTTCCCAAGCAGGCCAGAGAACAACGGATTGTGCAGAGCCACGGATTGGTGCACGCGGCACACGCCACACGCGTGCCACGCAGTCTCAATGATAATATCCTGCCCCTTTTCAGCATTGCATCGCAATTGGCCCAGCTCCTTCTCGGCGCCCTCGAGGAAGCTCGACTTCTTGGAGGATTGGCACTTCCCTCGCGGGCACGGCGTCCCTTTCAAGTCGTGCAAAATGCCAGCGGACACGAGGTAGTGGACGAACTCTTCTGGGGACCACCGTGCCATTTGCACAAAGTCCGTGTCAATCGGGGCCCTCGCCATCTTCTTCGCCCTCTCTTCGTACTCCCGCGTTCTGATAGATATTTGCGTGTACTTCAGCCTGGCGACAAGTGCAGCAGATCGGCGGTTCCGCATGTAATCCACGACGGCCTGGCTGCGGCAGTCCTCCACGACCTCGCCCTGCAGCGATTTGTTCGGGCACTGCGGCCGCTTGTGCTCCACGCTCCCACATCTGGAACAGTGCGGGAGAAGGTACCTGGCTGCCGACACTCGTTTTCTCTTCTGCTGCTGGTCCCGCGGGGGCGCTGCAAGCGCCGCCACGGCAGTCTCGCTGGAATGCATGGCCAAGATTTCGGTGGCCTCGATGTGCTGCGCGACCCGCAACTTGGCGATTTCCGGATGCAGGGGCTTGTCCTTGTCCTCCGCCGCCTTCGCGATCATCCCCCGCGCTCTCTCGACCATCAGCTGGGGCCTCTTCGCCAGGAGCCCCTCGAGGAGGCCCTCCTTCTCAAGAGCACACCTCAATGTCAGCTTCTGGTCCAGGATGTTGTTCCTCCAACTCATCAACCGATCAAGGTAGCCAGGGTCCTCCTGAAGCACACTCCTCAAGGTGGAACCAGAATGTTTCCCGAAATCAAAGCGGTACTCCTCCTGAGATTGCGGCGCCTCCGGAGGTTTCCACCCCGCGTGGTGCCTAGCCTTTGCCTTTGCAACTTTTCTCTCCTTGGCCAAAGCAGGGTTCGCGAGCTCCTCCACAAACTCTTGACGCAGCTGCACCATCTCCTCCGGCGTCAGCACGTCGCGGCTGTCGGCGTGCGCCTTGCAAGGTGGCCTGCGGCTTTTGCGGCCTGTCCAGTCTCGGAAAACTCCGACGCATAGTCCGCAATCCGCCACCCATGCTGGGCCCAAGCGCTTTGAAGTGCCATGCGCTGTCTGGCAGGGGCGTCGGCTGTTCTTCCCTGGGGGGCCCCGGGAGGACCCGCGCGGACCGCCACTCCCCGCGATGCTGCGCTGGCACGAGGGCGGGGCTGGCTGTAGCCAGATGGATAGCCTGCGCGCTTCTTGATGACCATCCACTTTTCGAGGTCCGCGGCCGAAAACTCATCGTCCTCCGCCTGGCCCTCCGAGCCCTCCGCGCCAGCCGCCGCTGCGGCGGCGGCGCCTGCCGCCGCAGCAGCCGCCGCGATCCGCCGTGCGCCCTGGCCGCGCCCCGCGCCGCCGGACGCCTCGGCCTTGGCGTTCGCCGCCGCCGCTGCCGCCTGTAGTAGGGCACGGCCTCGGCGAAGCCGTTGCCGTCGCCACCGCCGCCGCCGCGTGCACCAGAACAAACGCGATCGCTCCCTGCCGAAGAATATCGCGGTGGTGTCTGTGGTGTTGTTGCTGTGGAGCTCCAAGACGCCCAAGTCGGAGCCGGTGATGATCGTGATGGTCACGGTGCTGCTGCTGAGGTCTGGCGTGCTGCTCACGGCGAAGCCAACTGGATCCTGCACGCGAGAAGGCAGGTAAGCATACACCGCCACCACGCCAGGCCAGGGCCATCCTGGACCCCGGCATGGTGTATGCGCCCTCCTGCCTTGGGCAGGAGGGTCGATACAGCATCCTGCATCCCAGGATGGCCCTGCTGAGGCATGGTGGAGGAGCTTAGGAAATCAGCTTGCTGAAAGCCAGGGCGCAGGGCGCCACTCGAGCCAGCCGATGACATGAGGGCGATGGCGACCACGACGACGCAGACGACCGCAGTCGCGACGACATGGGAACTGGCTGCTGACATCGCGTGGGTCGTTCACTCTTGAGCGATCTGCGCACCTGGAGGCCGTCCTGGAATCATGATTTCGGACCGCGGGTCGATTTCCGTGAGTCCTGGGGCCCGAAGAAAAAATACCCTGGGCGCATTCAACCATGCGCGCCCACGCTGGAACGCAAGGAGGAGGAGACCCAGGAGCAACAACAACAACAACAGCTTTGCCCAAGGTGTTCGCGGTGGGGTTCGCCCAAGAGGCCTGGGGCAGAGTGGCTACGATGTTAGCCAGCGTGGGCCCAAACCGGCGAATCCCACCAGCACTTTAGGGCGTGAGTGGTCTAAGGAGCTCGTTCTGCTAAACCCCCTTTTTCCCCTTCGGGGAGGGGGTTCCCCCTCCCCCTACCCCCTCCCCCTGGACCTGGAGGGAGGGTGCCGCGAGCGGTTGGAGCGTCCAAGATGGCCCAAGATGGCTCCAAGCGGGTCCCAGAGAGCCCAAGATGGTCTCCAAGATCGCGCAAGATATCCCAAGATGGTTCAAGATAGCTATCAACATGCATCCAAGAGCTCTGGAGACCGCCCCAGGACGGCTCCAAGTGCCTTTCGAGCCCTCCAAGGAAGCCCTCAAGAGGCCAAAATCATTCAAATCCTGTATGTTTTTCCGATGTTTTTTGCATTGTCACCCTTTCGCGCCCGATGGCCTCTTGAGGCCTCAAGATGGCTTCTGGATGGCCCAAGAGGGCCCCAAAAGGGGCCCAGGGGGGCCCCAAGACCGCCCCAAGAACACCCAAGACCGCTCCAAGAGCGGCCCACGAGGGCCCCAAGAGGTTCATTTTCGGGCCCCGACGGGGGGACGCAGTTAAGGACCCCCCCGTCCCCGACTCGACCATGTCCTATTGAATTCCGATTCAAACACAAATAAATGATTAAGGAATTCCTCCGGCGGCTGGGACTCGACCATTTCCTATCGAATTCCTATTTCAGCGTTCCGAAGGATCCAACCTGTTTATACTAAGTCCCCGCGCAGGTCACTCCGATGCCCCCCCCCCCCCCCCCAGCAGCCCTCGAAAGTGGCGACAGTTTCGCAGACCGCAGCCCCCCCAGGGATGGCGAAGTCAAATCTGTAGGGTCCCTTGGGAATCCTATGGGGTCCCTGAGGAATCCTATGGGTTCCCTTAGGAATCCCACTGGGGATCCTATAGGAATCCTGTTGGAATCCTATAGTAATCCTATGGGATCCCTTAGGAATCCTATGGGATCCCTTAGGAATCCGATGGGATCCCTCAAGAATCCTATAGGATCCCTTAGGAATCCTATAGGATCCCTTAGGAACCCTATGGGGATCCTATAGGAATCGTACGGGAATCCTATGGGATCCCTTAGGAATCCTATGGGATCCCTTGGGAATCCTATGGGGTCCCTGAGGAATCCTACTGGGATCCTATGGGAATCCTATTGGAATCCTATAGGCATCCTATGGGATCCCTTAGGATTCCTATGAGATCCCTTAGGAATCCGATGGGATCCCTGAGGAATCCTATAGGATCCCTTAGGAATCCTATAGGATCCCTTAGGAATCCTATGCGGATCCTATAGGAATCGTATGGGAATCCTATGGGCTCCCTTAGGAATCCTATGGGGATCCCTTGGGAATCCTATGGGGCCCCTTAGGAATCCTATGGGATCCCTGAGGAATCCTATAGGATCCCATGGGATCCCTTAGGAATCCTATGGAATCCCTAAGGAATCCTACAGGATCCCTTAGGAATCCTATGGGGTCCCTTAGGAATCCTATGGGAGCCCTTAGGAATCCTATGGGATCCCTGAGGAATCCTGTAGGGTCCCTTGGGAATCCGATGGGGTCCCTGAGGAATCCTATGGGATCCCTTAGGAATCCTACTGGAATCCTATAGGAATCCTATGCGGATCCTAAAGGAATCGTATGGGAATCCTATGGGATCCCTTAGGAATCCTATGGGGATCCTATGGGTATCCCTTAGGTACCCTGAGGAATCCTATGGGATCCCTGAGGAAGCCTATGGGATCCCTTAGGAATCCTATAGGAATCGTATAGGAATCCTATGGGATCCCTAAGGAATCCTATAGGAATCGTATAGGAAACCTATGGGATCCCTAAGGAATCCTATGGGATCCCTGAGGAATCCGATAGGGATCCCTCAGGAATCCTATGGGATCCTACCAGGACCCCTTCCGCGGCCGCGGAAGGGTTGCTGGGGTTGCTGGGGTTGCTGGGGTTGCTGGGGTCCCCCCGGGCCGGTCTAATCGTCCTCATTCAACAACAACAACAACAACAACAACAACAACAACAACAACAACCAACAACCAACAACCAACAACCAACAACCAACAACCAACAACCAACAAACAACAAACAACAAACAACAAACAACAAACAACAAACAACAAACAACAAACAACAAACAACAACAACAACACCAACAACAACAACAACAGCAACAACAACAACAACAACAACAACAACCGCCGCCTCCGCCGCGGCCCTGCAATTTCTTGAGCTCCTGCGCCCGCCGATGAATATCCTGTCACAGCGCGGCCTCGCCGCCCTGAGCATGCGCGGCGCGCTCCTCGCGGAGCTCGCGTCGCTCCTAGAGCGCGCCCGCCTCGCGGCGGAGCTCGGCCGCGACGTGACCCTGCAGCTCGGGCACGATCATCAGGTGGCCACGTGTCTCGGACGTGCCCATCATCAAGAACACGTTGTCGGCGCCGCCCACCCTGTGGACCCGGCCGATGACCCGCTCGCGGTGTCGATGCTCGATCAGCTGGGCCCGCCTCGCGATGCACCCGAGAGACGCGAGCTGAGCTCGCTGACGTCCATCTGGGCGAACGACATCGCGACGCCGAAGACCCCCATGCACAGCTCACGCTCTGCGACGCCAGGGTCGGACGAGGAGAAGCTTGTCTCTTGCTTCCACTTTGCGTGGCGGCTACGCGGGTGAACGTCCTGACAGCATCTTGGTCCGCCAAAACCTGAGGCACCACCGCGTGATTCCAGGTCCCCAAACTGGGCAATACGGCCACGTCGTCTCGACGATCAGGTTGGCCGAATCCTTTAACACCCGGCGCCGCTCACCCTCGGAGCCCATCTGAAAGCTCATCGCCTGGGCGTCGAGGTCCCCGTCGCCACCGAGCTCGTCCCGATTCACCATCCGCACGACCTGGAGCTCCTTCTCGAGCAGCACGATCCCGGACCCGCCAGACACCGCGAAACCGTCGCACGCGCCCCCCTGGTATGCGGTGCGCGCCGCGTCCGAGCTGGTGGATGCCAATATCTCCCAGCAGTAGCCGTCTGGGGGCTTCGGCAACACCCGCGCCCACCTCCAGGTCAGTCGGTATCTCTGGGCCATCCGCGGAGGACGCCGACGCCCCCGCCACCGCCTGCTTCCCCCGTCAACCGCCGCCCCGGCGTCCCGTCGACGGAGAGCGCCCCGGGACGGCAGGAGCGAAAGGCCTGCGCGCAGTCGAGGGGTATCGGCTCCCAGTCCTCCCCGTGCAGCTGGTGCTCGCCCGGCCCGAACCTCCGATCCTCAAGCGAGCCGTTGATGGGCTGGCCCGGCGCGTCGAAGGCCGCAACCACCCCCGCCAGAGGAACGACTGCCAACAAACGAAGGCTGACGTCCGCGTCGGGCGTTCAGCAATAGAAGCACTTCGTCACCAGAGCTACTGGAGCTGGATCGCCGAAGACCTCGGTGCACTCGCCAGGTGGGCACACGCACACGGTGATTTTCACTTGCCAGGACTTCCCACTTTGCCAAAGGACGCCGACCCGCTGACCAGCTGCCATAGCTCACGACACAGCAGCAGCGCCCACAGCCGACGCCTCCGACAAAGAACACCAGGAACGCGCCGAAGAGGCAGCCCCCGAGGCGGCCCGTCGCCTCGGCCAGCAGCCAACAGCCGCTGGCGTCCTCGTGTCCTGGGGCGAGGCCTCGGACGGACAGGGGCAGCTGCTCCAGCGCGAGTGGCACCAGACGGGCGATGGCTGAGGAGTGGAGCCCCATGCGCGGCTCTCTGCATGCCGCAATCCAGCGGCCACGCTCGC